GAATGTACCAATAAAATGAGTTGTATATTACATAAATGAAAACATTCATAATGTGTCCATAATTATGTTGTAATCTAAGTTATAATTAACAGTTCCATAAAACCTGAAAAATCATTAATCTTCAGCGATATCTTTAATCAATTACCTATCACTTGATTTTTGTAATGAAATCAACTAATTGTAAGTTCAAATCTACAATCATAATTAACTAAGATTATTAATATATATCTTTGGCATAAATAATCGGGATGTTATCTCTTATCACAAGTATTGATAGGTAAATTGTTACTCTGGCAACAAACAGAGGACACATTCAGCATGTACAAAAACAGTACCAACACATAACAGTTCCTTCAATGGTTTACATTGCAGTTTATGATACCAATATACACCAACTGGTAACTCTGTCTTCTAAATTAACGCAAGCCTCAACTGTATGTTTTGACAGTTATGAAATGTTACACCTCAATATCACAACCAGATTTCTGTCCCCTTTATATATTGCACAAGTTGTTTGTTGTGGAATTCCTGTAATCTCTTTTGACAAATCTCAATTATCAATCTGAAATAAATCAAACATGCTGAATGAGTTAGCCTTATCTCAAAACCAGGGGAGAATTGGCCTACAAACCAGGGGAGAATTGGCCAGCATTGGCCAGCATTGGCCTACACTCAAGGTAGCAGTGGTCTAGAGGTTCTAAACTCATGGGTCTTCATATGACATTAGGTCTGATTGTTTCATGTTAGCAGTCTCAAAGGTGAATTCATTTTAGCTTTAAAGAGACAAACAGCTTTTATTTTCTGATGGAAAAACAATTCTGTGTTGTTTCAAACAAAGTATTTCAAGTAATTTATCTTGGAAAAGTGCATCATATCACTGTTAACCTTCTTCAAAACAGCATTCTGGGGCTATTTTTAATGCATCAGTGATGTTCCTTTCTAGAATAGATAATCATGAAAGCATCGTCCCCTTTACTAATTTAAATTTAGAGAGCGGACATGTAAATTAGAGGTATTGAGGAGTTTCCTTATTGTTTATGCAAAATTTGTTTTCCACCTTAATTCTTCTTATCTGACAATTATATAAAATGAATGACAATTATATAAAATCACTTATCTAAAAACATAACATATTCAAACATTTAGAGAAACTAAATCTAGCTGCAATAGATATGTTTAAACTAAATCAAATTCATTGCTGAAGTTTAATGATTTGCTTTTGTAATATCTCTTTCATGATTAAACATGTGATAAATACAGAGATAATTTACCAGCATTAATTGAGCTCACAATATTTCAGAATATTAAGTGATCTGACTGAATTCATACAGTTTAAATTTAAATCAAGTCAATATTATAAGTGTATATGAACTGATAAATTTATCTACATTTCTGGTCTGTTCATTCATCATATATACATATGTAAGTAGATAAGATCACATAATCACTACCACACGGGGGTGGAACCCCATATGAATCTCAAAAATGAGCATCGGTAAAAATGATATGTGAATTTCCGCTGCACCAGATGTGAAGCATAACATCAGATGTGACTGGAAAAATAGGCCGATCGCAGGGTAAGTTTTCATCTTTTCAAACATTTATATAAAATTCAATCCTTTTTTTAAGAAAATCGAAATGTGATTCTACCCTCCTGACTCTCCTCTATTTTACCCCTTGTTGTTTTGAATTTCTATGCAGTCTTCATCGAGATATTCTTTCCGTCATGGGTTCTGGTGTGTCCAAAACATGCAATATGAATGAAGAAAATGTCACTAAACGGACTCAAAAAACATAGATTTTACGAAATATCACTACAGGTCGATGCTAAACATTTAAACAAATCCTGGTTTAAATATTTATTGAGATTTGGCTACATATAAGGGAATCGCTGCTCAAAATTGCATTTGAGCTCCAGATGTGCTGAAGAGATTCATAAGTGATGTAGAAAACCATCTACAAAACTACGGACCTCTTCCATATAATCATTGAATAACCAATGTATAAAAACAATATAGGTTTTGCATCTTTGGCTGAAAGTTTAATTGTAACATTAGTGTGTTTGATTACCACAGTGACAGAGCTTACTAGCTTATATACTAGCATTAGAAATACTAAAAGGCTCGAGTACATGAAAATGTTGACGCAGAGCGGATAGTACTCTTATGAGTACCTATCGTGTCATATAATATGTTTCTTTAATAATGTTTACATTCATAAAAAATATCTATAACTTTAATATTCCACAAGTTATAGTTATAGCGACAGACTGTTATGTGTAAATATCATGGCCTGATGCGACATCGAAGGTTTTTCTTTACAGGATATGGGCGAGAACATTGTCTGTAAGGAAAACCCGAGATGCCGCCCCAGGTCATGATATTTCTACATAATAGTCGAGTTCGATATATTATAACTGTTTTATCGCATGATAAACAAAAATGAGAATTTTAATAAATATAAAATTTCAATTTATGATTGGCTTCTCTCCATAAATTAAATTTCCCACCCGAAACCTCGGTTACTTTTTATGTAACCCATGTCATCCATAATGTCTATCTGTTCATTGCAACTGACTTTATTTATCTTTGCAAATCCTTTCTGTGGAGAACATTTCATGGGACTTAATAGTTGTGAATTGAATATTAAGCGTTTTTTCTTTGAATTGGAAAAAGTAATACGTGCACTTTCTGGTGAATTCTTGGACTTTGGAGTCTGCGATACTCGGAATCTTTTGACACATAGGGACAATTTAAAAGGCGAAAAAAGGATATGTAAGCGCTGATGACTTCCTCTTTTCACGATACACGTGACGTTTTATTCTTGAAAGTTTTAAACCTTTCTTTTTTGTGCCTAGAAAACGACCCATTTTCCTGAAGAATAACAAAAGAAACGAATTACGAAAGTGTTTATAATTTACAGTTCCCACTGAAATAACAGTTATAAAGCAGAGAAAAAGTTTAGTGATCTTTTTTGCGTACACGAACATTTTCAGGAAACAATCTATGTGCATTATGAGCCACGCATGTCCGCTCAATACGGTAAAGATATGTTAAAGTTTCTTTAAAACCATTCAAAGAATTACAGAGCAGGCATAAAATTCAGATAGGCATTGACCCATAATTTCGACTGTGGGCATGAAGTGAACCATGTAAATATACTGCAGGGACGTTTCTTAATGTGGAAAATAAATATGCAAACCTTCTTTGATCTTTTTTTAAAAGTTTATCACCAATTTTCTTACAGCATCATAACAAATTCAAACACGCTTATGCTTCACATTACTCTCCTATTAAGCAGACAGTGCAATCGAGTGAATTATTAATTAATGAATTAATTTAGTTAATGCATGGTGGCATAAAAAGGGAAAGATTGCAGTACACACAACGTCAATAAGTCAAAAAAGGCCTTCCCACCATATCTACGTATTTTAAAAACCTTTCGTATGCAGAATGTCTTATATCTCTTTCTATATGGATACTATGTTATTCAAGCTCGTCTCGTGAAAATGTGTCTATTTCGGATAATAGTATTTATTACAGAATGATACACAATAGAATTAATTCTAGAGTGGTGCAAATTTTTCATGCTATGCACATATGAATCACTTCAGCACATCTGGAGCTCAAATACAATTTTGAGCAGCGATTCCCTTGTATGTAGCCAAATCTCAATAAATATATAAAACAGGATTTGTTTGAATGTTTAGCATCGACCTGTAGTGAGATTTCGTAAAATCTATGTTTTTTGAGTCCGTTTAGTGACATTTTCTTCATTCATATTGCATGTTTTGGACACACCAGAACCCACGACGGAAAGAATATCTCGATGAAGACTGCATAGAAATTCAAAACAACAAGGGGTAATATAGAGGAGAGTCAGGAGGGTAGAATCACATTTCCATTTTCTTAAAAAAAAGATTGAATTTTATATAAATGTTTGAAAAGATGAAAACTTACCCTGCGATCGGCCTATTTTTCCAGTCACATCTGATGTTATGCTTCACATCTGGTGCAGCGGAAATTCACATATCATTTTTACCGATGCTCATTTTTGAGATTCATATGGGGTTCCACCCCCGTGTACCAGGTAAACAAGTAATAGAAATCTTTACAACAAAAACCAAACCACAGGAAAGATGTTCAACAAAATAAATGTATCATATTCCTGTCACGATCACTTCCTGGTACTTTCATCAAAATCTATATTTTGACAAAATTTACTATCTATGTAACTACTCTTTCAAACTAAGGCTTATTAACTTACACATTTTAATTAAAATATTACTTGAGCGAGATTAATTATAATAATAGTTAAAAGTTAAGCAAATGAACATCTATATACTATATAGAAATTATAGATGAAGAAATTATAGATACAAAATTTGAAAGAGTTAAGAAGTTAGTTAAATTTTTATAGAAATTTCCTAAGGCCATGTGAGTTACTTATTGTTTATGTGAAGTAAAATATAAAATTGAAAGAAATTATGACAAAATCTAAACTTATTTTGACTTTCACCTGTTCATTATCTATTTAACCTTATATAGACGGGCACTTTAAGAAGTTAGTTAAATGTTTACTTTTCAAATAAGGGGTTAGTTTGTATTGTATTTGTTTAATATCAGCTGAGAGCAACTTGTACCTGAGACATGAAGATCCCATGCTAGTGTGAGTCTTTCAGCCAGTAGCAACTAACTTCCATGATGGAGTGGTTAAGGTAACTGATACATCCCCCAAACTACTGTGGGTTTGAAACTTTAAATCTGCCCGGGACTTTTATGAGAGGATTACATCCAGCTAGCTTACCAAAGGTCTACTGGGATGCCCACTTGTTTCTACATTTGTATATAAATGCACAAAATGCTCTCCACGGTATTCCTCTAACAGTGAAATAGGAAGGTTGCTGTAAGAACTTTACAAAAGAAGCGTCAAACTCTAGGCACAGAAAAAAACGTCAAACAACTTACTATATAACATAATAAAGCACCAGATTCATTCCTTTATCTTTGCCTCTCAAACATTGTCATTTCATCATCATCATCTACATCTCTATCAAGGGGCTCCATTTCTAAATCAGCACCAGAAGTAGCCAAAAGTCCATACTTTCTAGACTTATTCTGCCTCCTTTTTGATCTGAAACAAAATTATATAATACTTAGAACATTTTTGTTTCTAACCCCTAACAAGAAAGGCACATATAGATTTAATATATATAACACATATTAATCAAAATGCAGGTTGATATAAGAACTAATAATCACCATTTCTTCATTAAAAAAACTTTTTCAAGTAAACATTGCAAGCTCTAGTGAATGTGTGGGTATATATAGAATACTATGGCTAGCATAATTTTGTTTTATTCAAGATAGTTAAGTAACAAAGTCTTAAGAATTTTTTTTTTCATATACTCAAAATAAGAACAGTTAACAAAAGAATCATCGTTTTTACTGTAAAGCTTATAATATTCAAATTTGCATTTAATGGGTTGGTGATCATATGACATTTGTTAATGGTGACATTGGATCACCGCTAATGGCTTTGCCGAGGAGATATTTTTTTTAGCTTGTCTCTTTTTTGAATACCAAGTCAAGCAATTATGATTGCTGCAGTGTGTAGTCCATTATACAAACATTTGAAATAAAGTTTCAACATGAAATTTGGAATACTTTCCCATCATGACAAGGTGCAGTTGTTAAAGAAGGGGACCGGCATAAATTCGAAAGCAATATTTTTTAGTTATTAAAATTTTTAACAGAAGAGCATTGGGACAACATATGGAATGCTATTGTTCTTGATATCATATGCACTGAAATTACGTCATTTTGAAGCACATGACCTATATCAATGCCAGATGAAATTACCAGCATAGTAAAACTAATAGCCATTGGTTAAACTAACTGAAACATTGACCAATGTCCTTTCATTTTGGGAATGATCATATAGCCTGAAAATTCTCTTAGAAAAAAGTCAAAACAGATTAATATTTATCAGGAGTTAAACAAGTTTCATTTTTTGATCTGCTTTACTTTTTTTATTATGAAATTGGGAAAAGAATTGGCCATTTTCGACTGGAAATGAGGCCTTATATTGGCACCTGGAGATAGAGTAAAAATGCCCTGAACATCAGTTTGGTATGCAAGAATATACAGGTCCCCAACAACACACCTGCTAGTCGAAATCTTGAAAAGACTTTTAAGTAGTATCATGTATGTATACATAATTTTATCATGTCAAACCACAACCACTTGCTTTACAAAGAAGTTAAGTAATCATAAAGCAACATCATTAGTTATACAACCTGCTGATGAGATATATGGGAGAAAATCACTTAAATTTACCCAAGAGAGATCAATATGACCCAAGGCATTAGATTTAAGGATTACATTAATGTCAGCAAGGCTATATTCTCCTTTTTATCCAGCTATATCAACTTGAATAACAAATTTATAATAACCTTAACTATTATTGATGACAAGTTCTTTAGAAAACTTAGCAACTTAAGACTTTTTTCAAAGAAACACAAGAAGTGACGGCTGCACAATGTAAAGTAATGCAAATTTAAAATTCAGTCATAATAGGGGTGTATATTAAATTTCAAATATTCATTTTGTTATGACACTTAAATTTAAACTGAAAAAAACTGTCATAAAAAACAAAACACATTAATTAATTAATGTTTAGCACACATGTAGGTAACAATATATCATACATGTAGAAATACAATGTCATTTCTGCATGCTTTTTTTCTTTACAGGATACTGTATACAACTACAACATCATAAATGGTTAACAACTTGTTAAGCCAATCAAAAATCGAGAAATTTATTTGGATTATTATTAATATCTGTATATTTGTACAAAGTACATTGATGCTCCCGAGCGTCGCGGACGTCTGACAACCTTGCAGTTTACTTTCATATTCAAAATGTATCGTAACTATTGTACCAACCTCCAAGCTCGAACCACAAAATAAATGACAACAATACTGGTAACTCCTAACATCACATAGAACGTTCTAGTTAACATATCTTTGTTATCCTTTATTTGTTGAAATATGCCACCACCCCCGCTCAGTGTCCCATTTTCCTTAGTGCCATTGCTTGGCTTTAAAGTTGTTGGCTCGTTCTTACTTGAGCTTGCAATAGTTCCGTTGTTTGTTATTTTGTTTACATTGCTTGTAGGAGCGACTGACGTCTTTTTTTGAGCAACACAGGCAACAAGCTGTAACGACAACACTACCAAAATGCACGACAGTATGTATTTCATCATTTTTCTGTGTATTGATCCGATGTAAATCCTGTTAGACAATAATATATACAAATATTTTTCATAACATCTGCTGTCACTGGCCACATCACTTTACAAAATGGTGGTTGTCACGTGCAAATTAGTTTATTCGGAAGAGCTCGCATTTATTCAACCACAAAGAAAAATAATTACAAGAAAGAAAAAGCAGACAAAAGAAGAAATAGAGGGTAATGGTAGTGATCTAATACTTATCATTTATCTTATCATTATGATCACGGATTTATATTACAATATTGTAATATAAATCCGTGTAAGGATTAATAAAAATACAACGGAATTGAGAATATTTGGGTTTCCCCACTAATCTAAGGCTACTATAAAACTTTTTAGTTACAATTTATCGGAAATAAGCGCAAACCCCGGCGTTCACTATATTTAATACCATGAGCTATTACAAGTCTTTCTTGCTACAGTTAGTAAGCACACGGGATACCTTAACTGGCTAGAAATTTGCCTATCTTTGCTATCTATGTCACTGGTCAAACTGGAAGTGAAACCATGATTGCCATTGTGTTTTGACTATTTATAAATTAGTACATATAATGGGATCTCAGTTCTGATTGTACATACGTTTATTGATCACAATCATCATCACTTAATAAAAAAGGAAACAAATAAATCAAAAGAAATACTTTCGAACTCAACACTTTCCTATGAACATTGTTTTTTTCCCCAACCTTTTTCGCCACGAAATAACAAAATATATGACTGTTAAACTTTTGTAGCCGTTTTTTTGGAACATTTAGAAAATGTAAGTTAGTGCATCGCTCAACTATACGTGATGAATATATTAATTATTTCGGACGACTATTCATCAGCTACCTAGTGCATTAAATATTGAGAGTTGTACATATTTATATACTGACATGCTGTAGTGAGTTAGTAAATTACACATTAATGGCATTTTGTTTCCCGGAAAATTATTGGAAAACATGTAAATACGAAAGTTATTTTTTGTAACAAGAAAGACAACTGTGTAATGGATAACTCAACTATGGACATACTTATTTCTCTTATACTATAAACAACAGAATGCAATTTATTCTGTTTACTGCGGTATCAAAAGTAATGTAACATGCAAATGTAAAAAATTCCATTAGAATATCATTAACCACTATCGATGCATGAGAAAAAAATGAATACTTGTTTATATTGTTTAAAGATTTTTTTGTTTGGTTAGGTGTTCTGTCGCACGAACACAGTATGAATCATAAGGCGACTTTCCTGCTTTACTGGTGGAGGAAAACCTCGGGCTCTTCCGTACATTTTTCTTTCAGGCACTAAGTCTTACGGACACCTGGGAGAACCACCTTGCTGGAAAGCTTCCTCGCATGAAAGAATCCAAAGTCCCTGTCGGGATTTGAACTCACAGCGGTGCTTGGCTAGTGGTTTGATTGTTTAAATTTTGATTATTAACTATTTTCATGGTTTAAATGTTTATGTCTGGTTTATGTCTACTAATTACGATGTACTTCATTTAAGTATAAATATTTACTTCTAACACAGACTGGAATGTGGCACGGAAAAATATACATATTATCCAAATTCTTAAAGCTTTTTCAATATCCAAGTATTTTTGTATCCAGTCACGTCTATATAATCCCAATGCATCTTATGATTGTTTATTTTTTAACATAAAACCATGCAGTAAATGACATGTCAAGTGACTTGACTATTTTGATATTGTATTTCTTTCTTCGTTAAAATACTGCTGAAACAATGTTTGAAAAATGGCTTCAAAATGTACTAGTATTAAAGTTTCAAATACCTGACTGCTTTTAGAATTTATTGCACGATCAAACAGATACTCTAGAATATTTTCTATTGTACTTAAGGATTCTTTGTCGTGATAATTGTCTATTGTGAGAATCCTCTATTGTGGGGATTCTTTATTGTGAGGATTCTCTATTATGAGTAATTTTGATTGTGAGAATTTTCTATTGGAAGATTCTCCGTGATGAGAATGTTCTATTGTGAGGATTTTCTATTGTAAGAATTGTCTATTGTGTAAAAATGTGAAATTGTAATTGTGAGAATTTCTATTGGGAGGATTTTCTGTTTTGACAATTTGCTATTGTGAGGATTCCCTATTGTAAGAATTTATTTTAAGGATTCACTATTGTGAGGATTCCCTATTATGAAGATTCTCTTTGTGACGATTCTCTATTGTGAAGCTTCTCCATTTTGAGGTCCTATTTCATGAGGATTCTCTATTGTAAGGATTGTCTATTGTGAGTATCGTTTATTGTCAAGATAATGTATTGTGAGGGTGCTTTATTGTGAGGATTCTCTCCTGTAAGGATTCTCTGTTGTGAGGATTCTCTATTATTATATTCTGCTCTATTTGAGATTAAGTGTAAGATTTGAACATCATGTATCTGTAGAAGACGCAATAATTGTGTACGTATAATTCTATCTTATTAAAGTTCCGCAATTTCCTTAATAGTTCGCCAAGAGGCTTTTCGCAAATGACACGAATTAAGTATTAAAGTATAACTCGAAAAGAAGGAATATTGTGTTATCAGTCAGGGTTTGTATAAATTATATGATATTTTAAAGTAATTGCAAGTATATAGTAACATACTGAATTAGTGATAGTAAAGATACTCAAAATAACACGGTACACTAAATATAAAAAAGACTATGCTCACAATATAAGCAACTTACGATTAAACATAAACACGCAGCACATATGATAAAGGCAGAATATTAATTGGCTCATACTTTTCTATCACAAAATTATCATACTAGGCCTGTTTTCTCATGAATGACACAGATAGAACAAGTAGAGATTTTGATGCTAAAGCATCAAGTCGCCGGATAGAAAATGATTGTATTATCATAAATATAAAAAAATCAGTTTAATTAATGGTTCAGGTATAAAGAAAAGAGGAACAATTTATGTTGAGTAACTGTTTATTCACAATAAAACATCATATATGAAGCAAACTTGCTTAGCAATATTGTTAAGGAACTGCTATGATTATTAAGCAAGTATTTCGTACGTTAGTTTACGTAACTTATTATGATTTATGCTAAAGATTTTATTGATAGTATAGATCTCGATATTAAATTAATTAATATGTGGTAAGTATAGGACGAAGTTGTGACCTAGTAGGCCAAATTCGAATCTTTGAAAATCCCTTTTGCAGTTTTCATAAAACTATATTTTTGCGCTATTGAAAAAAATAAGCTATTTAGTCGAAATCAATATTCCTGTCGTTACATACGATATAGTGAACGTTTAATTGCCTTTCAGTTCGATAAAATATTAACAAAAAGATATTTTATTAGTTTTCATTATTATGTGTCGTACCGTTTTGGTAACCTGCGCGACGGAAATCGACGGAATATAACGAAGACGACGATTACCACTATTTATTTCAATAAATGTGTGTCTCTTTAGCTAAATCTATTTTGTGATGTTCAACCTAAACTAAACCATTGAGCATTGACAGAAAGGGCAAAATTTAACCCTTTACCAAGATAAAATGAAAAGGTTTTGAAAATTTATTTAATTCTTTAATGTACTAATCCTTTCCAGAGACATAGATAACATGTTATCTATGTCTCTGTCCTTTCTAATGATATAAAATATGAAACTGATTAATGAAAGATAACTTTGTAATTATCTATACATTTGCATCTAATTAGCCCCCATACCGTTTTCCAACTAGTATGTCTTATCAGCAATCTGTTACTATTAATAGATTCTATAACACTAACATACAACGTGTAGTCACGTGATTTTTACAATAGAACAGGGAGAATCTGTTTATAATTAGATAAAATAATGAAATATAATAGGTGTCATAAGATATAAAACAACCAGATAATTTAAATGTGTCATTTTAAATATCATTCATGATTTATCAATCATAAAATAGCAACGCTTGACACTTAGAAAAAAGTAAAAGTATCCCTAAATTCAATGACTGGTCCATAGGGATACGTTATTAATTCATTTTATGAAAATTGTAATGTTGCTTTTTAAGATGTCAATATTTGTATATTTCATTTCATTTAGCAACGTTAATTTATTTTTGAATTTTTAAGATTCTGAAAAATAATTGTGGTCCTTAATTGTTCAGTAATTGATTTGCTTTTATTTTCAGATTTTAAGGCCTTCTCCTACCATAGATATAATATTAAACTGTAACAAATATAGTCGCCGGTTTCTACCGGCGACTAATAACTTTGTCTTCCAGCATGAAATATTTTATTTGTTATATTGTGCATGCATCCTTCTTAAAGGATATAATTTGTTCATACAATAACTTAACTTCTATGGTATGTTGCGCAAGTGTTTGTAAAATATTTCTCGTGAATGTGGGAAATACCAACTTTAATTAAGGATTATTTATGCATTAATTATGCAAAACACATTTATATCGTATGTTTAAGAATTAACATATCTTTAATGTTCTCTAGGGGCCCACATGATTGTCATATTAATCTTATCTTTAACTTTGTACAATTCGATAGCTTAAACAGTGCGTGATTTTCATTAATGTATTATATCATTATTTCTTTCTTTTCAAGATAACTTTTAAATAGTCTGAAACGATATGCGATTTTAGAGTTCTAACATAAATAAAAGAAGGCATTACAATAATGGTGTCACCTTAGCTCCATCATTTCATTTTCTTGTCTTTGACTTGAAAATGTACTTAATACGACGTATTCAAATTTTTCCATGCTCCAGTATCATATGGTGGAACTGGTCTGATTAATTTCCTCTATAAGCTTATCAGCCCCGGGCTTATAATAGCTGTAAAAATATAATTGGTTTATCCAAATATAGATTTTATCCGATGTGCGTATGTTCCTTTAAAGCTTTTTGTTGTAATAGCCTCATAAAACAGTACAATTGTCCTTTACAAATCAGCTCAACTTCTTATTGTATTTCAAATATATCATATAAGTATCAGTTCAGTCTCGTTTCTTAAAGAAGTATGTCG